ACTATAGGTGATTCTGAGTCACATCAAAGTTTGAGGACCAGTGATAATGTTTTAAAAAGGGGTGGTAGGAGATTTGAAAGACAGGTCAAACCATCCTTTGTTAAGGATGGTGGCTGTGTGGCTGTGTAATTTAGATGACTCTGGGGAAAGTAAGAGATTTGAAGATTTCACAACCTGAGATGATAGGTGCTCAGTGCTGTACTTGAGAAAATTCAAAATGCAACTTAAAAAAAAATAGATTGAAGGAAGGCAGAGGGAAGCTATTGCAAGAAATTGCAATGGTCCAGATGAGAGTTAATAAGAGCCTAAATTAGGACTGTGGCAGTGGGAATGGAGAGGTGGCATATGAGAAGCAGCATGAGGATTGTGATGAGTGCCAGATAGGAATGGATAGTGGATATGAAGAAATAAAAGAAAAAATGGAGAAAAATGGAGGGTCTTCTGTACCAGAACCTACTAAGAACCTTCATTGCACTTTAAGGTTAGACAGTGAAGAGAATGTGCCTTTTTTGCATGTGCTGTTTCCTCGGCCTGGCTTTTCCCTTCTCCATCTCCTTAGCCTGTGCATTCTTCCATGCAGGTTCCACCTCATATGCCATCTCATTTATGACATCTTATCTTATTCTGACAAGCATAGTTATTGTCACTCCTCAGAACACTCCGAGCACATTACTTCATACGTTGTTAGCTCTCCAGAGTGGCACTAGATTGTAGTGGTCATGCATATCGACTATATTTGCAAGCACCGTAAACTATTCTTCAGCTTCCCCATCTGGAAAAAGGGAATAATAACAGCACCTACCTCATAGAGCTATTAGGTGAATTGAATGAGAGAATCATGCCTAGTACATAGAGTGCTCGGCTGATGTTATGGTATATGTTGTATTGCAATGAGTTGTTTAATATACGTTTTCCCTCTCTAGATTGTAAACAGGACGTGTGTCTTGTTCTTCTGGCTAACAGTAAAAATATATGGCAGAATGATACTAAATGGGTTTTGGAATCAGATAGACGGGTTCATATCCATGCTTTGCTACTTACTTGGTGTGTAACCTTGATCTTTACTTCCATGAACTCATTATCTTCATTTATAAGATGGTGAAAATAATGTATGTCTTACAAGTTGTTATGAGGACAATTTGAGGTAATCAGAGTTGTATATCTGGCCCAAAGAAGGCAGGTCACTAAATGGCAGTTTTTATGTTAACGTGTACCCCTGGAGCATAGAACCATGTTCAGAACACAGTGCTTAGTAATTGATTATCGAATGAAAAGCTAACCTTATATACCAGGCACCATGCTAAGTTCTTTATGTGTATCATCTCATTTCATTCTCACAAGAACTGTATGGAGAAGGCACTATTATTATCTCCAATTTACACAGAGGAATCTGAGGCTTAGATTAGTTTAACCAAGATCTCAAATCTAGAAAGTGCCAGAGCTAGGATTTCAACATCCTAGGGGCTCAAAAAATAGCTGATTGAAAGACAGAATGAATGATAGTTAGGAGACCTACCCAGAGTCAGGTAGTGGTGTGATAGAACTAGCACTGTTGCTCTTGGTCACTACCCTGTGTTCTCTAAAGTATTCGAATCATCTCTGTGAATGGAGTGTGAGATGGAGGTTGGCATTTGTCAACTTGTGTCTAGTATGCATGAAGGTAGATAAATTGAATTTCTTACCGAATTCAATTCTGCTGATAAGTTGAAATTCTTAGTAAATAAAGAAATCTTAAATAAACTGCGGGCTTTAGTTCTTTGCCAATTGTCAACAGAATAGTCAGATCACTTTCCCAAGATCTAGGAAAAAACATTGTCCCAGGTAGTGATTTCAAATTACTTTGTATCATGGACATTTGCTTTGAGGCATCAGAACCAAGATGTGAAATCCTCCCTGGTGTGATAACCTCACTATTCATATCTAGGAGGCTTAACTAAGGAGCTTTGAAGAAGAGAAACTCTCTTTGCTCATCTTTCACGTTATCCCTCCTTCTCTGGATTTGGTCCCTTACAGTGAGTGCACTGGAGAATAATAAAAAGGGAGAAATAGGGTGGCCGGGTATCTCAGTTGGTTAGAGCACATGTTCTGAACAACAAGGTTGCTGGTTCGATTCCTGCATGGGATGGTGGGCTGCACATCCGCAACTAGATTGAAACAACTACTTGACTTGGGGCTGATGGGTTCTGGAAAAACAGACTGTTCCTCAATAAAATTTGTAAAAAAACAAAAAAAAAGGAAGAAGCAATCTCTTTCCTGGTTCTCCTGCCCAAATAATGCTCTTCCTGTTGACCAGGAAGAAAAGGGGGAGATACTTAGGTAGATTTCTGATTTTGAAGACTCCAAAGCAATCCAGAACCTCAAACTTGTAGGCAGTGGAACAGACCTGGCTTTAAACCCCAGTTCTTCCACTTACTGGTCCTGTCAGTTTCTGTGTAGTGTGGAAAGCTCCCAGTGTGGTCCCTCATACCCAAATGCACATATTCAGTAAATGATGGTCATTTTTATCTTTCTAAAAGTAAGTAATATCGAGGTATTTCAATGTGAGAGTGAGTCTGGGAATTAAGGTAGGTAGAACTACATGTGAAACTTAATTTGGAAGTGAAGTAAATGAAAACAAGTTAAAGTTGAAGCTGAGAGCAGGCTTTTGGAGTTTATAGTGTTGCTGTGCTGATTATACATCATAGTATCTGTTCTGCCTCCTATCCTGGAATCTCTATTCAGCCAACATGTACAAAGGGTAATGCCAGCAAAGCAGAACTTTGTAGGAACAGTAACCTCAGTTAATTTAAAAAAAAACAAACCAAAAAACTGGGATGTCCAGAAACCTATTTAAGAATCTCATTTCACGTAAACAATTCGAAGTAGAAACACAGAATTGTTTGATGGTTTGATTTAAAGGGAGACAAGTGTATTAGTTTCCTGCAGCTGCTATAACAAATTACCACAAACTTTGTTTCTTAAAATAACAGAAATTTATTTTCCCACAGCTAGAAGTTTGACATCAGTTTTATTGAGCAGGAATCAAGATGTCACCAGGTCTGTGCTCCCCCAAGGGAGGAGGGGCCTAGGGAAGAATCCAGCCCTGCCTCTTCCAACTTCCAGTGGCTGCTGCATTCCTTCACTTGTGGCCACATCACTTTAATCTGCCTCTGTGGGTCACACACACTGCTTCCTCCTGTGTGTGCATCAAATCTCTCTCTGCCTCTCTCTTTTTTTTTTTTTAAAGATTTTTATTGGGGAATTGGGGGAGGGGAACAGCACTGGGGAATTGAGGGAAGGGGAACATACAAGTTGCTGTCCTTTTGTTCTTCAGTCTAGTTGTGGAAGACGTTGCTTCACTGGCCCAAGTTGGCACCATCATTGCGCTCTTCCCGGGTGAGGCAGATCAGTCGCTGGCTTCTGGACGGCCGCTCACGGTGGCTGCCTGCTACACATGGTAGCCCATGGCAACCCACTGCAGCAGGGGCTGCAGCCTACACTGTCATTGGCGACTCATGGCAGCCCAGCTCCAGGTTGAGCTGTTGTTCAGCATCTTAGCTGTAGAGGGCAGTGTCACTGGCCCTCATATGTGGGATCCGAACCGGGGCCCTCTGGCATCCCAAGCCAGCTCTTAACCAACGCGCCACTCAGCCAGCCCATTTCTCTGGCTCTCTTTTATGAGAGCACTTGTAATTAGATTTAGGGCCCACCCACATAATCCAGGAGAATCTCCCCATCCCAAGATTCATACTTTAATCACATCTGCCAAGACCTTTTTTCCTTAAAAGGTAACATTTCCAGGTTCCTAATAATAATAATAATTGGTGGCCATTATTCAGCCTACTACAAAAAACTTTACCAGTTTAACCAGCATTCCCAAATGAGATAACTGTCTCTCACCTGTTTCTTTTTTCACTTGCTTTTTTTTAATTATAAATGTTCATTGTAGATCATTTAGAAAACATAGAAAAAGTTAAAACAAACAAACATAAAACCAGAAAGGAAATTAAATGAAAACCACCCATAATCCTCTTACCCAGGAATAGCCAGTCCCTCATCAATGAGCATTTTTCTAGGCGGGGTCTTGTGCCCAACAAAAAGGAAGAATAGGAAAAAAGGAATAAAAGTAATCAGACTGGAACAAGCAACTTGGAAGGTAATGAAAATATTTCTCATAATGGATATGTACAGGGCAGCCTAATTTAAAGTGAATGTAGAGCTTTAAAATGAAATTAAACAGGACAGGAGGTGCTTGTATGATATATGGAAATGACACTCAGTCTCTTAGAGGTGCGAAGTTTAGCTTTGGCCCCTCACTTGAAAACCTCTGAATTGTCCCACTCATTCACTCGCAGAAGTCCGACCCTGGCCTGCTAATCTGCCCTGTCATAGGCTTATTTTTTTTTTTGAGTCCTTATCAGCCTTCCTCAGTGGGTCAATGTTATGAAGCCTGGGGAAGTCTGGCAGAGTTTCTGCTCCTCCCAGGCTGATATCAAAGGGCAACAGGGACTGTGACAGACAGCAAGCATTCAGACCAAAACCAGATGTGGAACTGAAACAGCAAGGGCAGCAAGAGCATCAGGTAAAAAAATATTTTGTTTCAATTTTAAAAATCTCATCCATCTCATCTTAGGTGCAGTTTGTGTCTGTCAACATGAAGGGCTTGGTAAAAGAGTAGCTAAGGGGAAACGTGTGAAGGAGAAATTTAGGAAGAGTGGAAAGCGTGTTCATAGGGAGCTAGAATCTCGGAAAAGGACTTGATCACAGTTGTTATCAACATCCAAGGGATACCAACGAGACTTGGGAGTTGTAAGAGTACAGGCCTGCTAGTTCAAAAGCAGTTAGATTTGGTCTGTGAGTCCCAGCAAGGGCAAATCATAGGGAGACAAATTATAGTTGAAAATAAAGAAGCCATTTCTAACAGAGCTGTTGGAAAATAGAAGAGATTAATTTGATAGGTAATGAGTTACTTGTCACTGGAGGTGTTCAAGCCGTTACTGGAAAGCAATTTGTTGAGAGTGGGGAATATTATAGAGAGGTTTTAAGAATTAGATAGATGGTTGAGCCATACATTTACCTGTAGGAGGGGCTCACATATGACAACAAACGCTTCATCGGGTTGATTCCGGGTTTGCCTGGTGAAAGTGAGAAGGCAACCAAGAGCAAACTATGGCAGAGGAGGGTGTATGTCCTGCTAAATGCCTGTTTTTCCCCTCCAGGTGGGTATAAACACCCACATGGCCTCTGCTTTGCAAAGATTACGCAGAAGAAATGGGTTGTCTTCTTCTAGAGCAGCGGTTCTCAACCTTCCTAATGCGGCGACCCCTTAATACAGTTCCTCATGTTGTGGTGACCCCCAACCATAAAATTATTTTCGTTGCTACTCTATAACTGTAATTTTGCTACTGTTATGAATCGTAATGTAAATATCTTTTTGTTCCGATGGGTGACCCCTGTGAAAGGGTCGTTCGACCCCCAAAGGGGTCGTGACCCACAGGTTGAGAACCACTGTTCTAGAGGAAGAAATTTGGTTTGTATTAGTAAACATTCTATTTTGCACTTAGCAAATCTAAGAGAGTCGTTTCTAAATATTTGCGTCACAGCCCTAATTTCAATTTAGATGGCTATTCTCTGACCTGTGAAACCAAAGAAGGTTGACCACAGTTATAATAACTACATCCCAAAGGCTCATGATCTTTTCCAAGTCTTAGAGGTTCCCACAGTACAGAGCAGAACTATTAGGAGGACAGGAAAACACCTGCTTCTGCCACACACTGTATATAAAGAAATGTACTTTTAGAAGAGTGCTTGGAGAGATAAAACAATTTCTGCATTTGGTGTCAATTGACATCCTTTCAGGAGTAGAATAAAGCTTTAAAAATGTATAAAATAGCATGTAAAGAATACCAAGTGTTATGTTTTTGATAGCAAGATATAGATATATTTTCTCTGTGGCCCTCTTTTTTCCCCCCCTTTGAATTATACATAGAAGCACCTTTTCATTTCAATTTCTACATATTTTCTAATAACTTATTTGGCTCCTATGCCCTTTCTATCTGGGCTCACTGTTGCTGCTTTCTGATTTTACGAAAAATGGCTACAATTTTCAGCACTATAATGGCAAGCTATTAAGCAGTCACCTTGATATATGATTGCTCATGCTGGAAAAGCAAAGGATCTTGAAAAAGTTGTTAGAAAGCTGATATCAAAGATTTCTTTTTTTTTTTTTAAGCTGAGCCATCCTGCCACCTGTTGGCAGCTCAGTGGCAGTCAGCTCTGGCCGGGAATCGATCCGACGACCCTGTTGCTCAGAGCTCCCACTCTTGAGCGAGCTCTTAACCAACTGAGCCACTCGGCTGGCCCCTCAAAGATTATTTCCATGTTAAAATGCATCTCTAATAATTTAGAGCTTTGAAGAAAATATTATAACCTCTGGAATTCTTTTTAATGTAGAAACAACATTTCTGTCCTGATTCTTTATGGGGATCCTCTTCTGTCACTGTTGGAGAACCGAGGGGCAGCTGAGATGCACAGTCTCAAGACCAATACGGAAATGCTCTATCCTGAGACAATCGTAGACGTGGGCAGAGTGACTTTTGGAGAAGAGAAGAGGAAGAAGATGGCCAATAACTACTTGAAAAGAACTGAGAATTCTAAAATCATCCGAGCTACCTGTGCACTGTTAAATTCTGGAGGGGGTGTGATCAATGCGGAGACTGATGATAAAACCTACAGTTACCAATGCCATGGGCTGGGACATGATCTGGAAACTTCTTTTCAAAAGCTGCTTCCTTCAGGTTCACAGAAATACCTTGACTTCATGCAGCAGGGGCACAACCTCTTGATTTTTGTGAAGTCATGGAGCCCGGTTGTTTCCAGCCTTCCCCTCAGGATCTGCAGCTTACGCTCAAATTTATATCAGAGAGATGGGACTTCTGCCATCAACCTGAGTGCCAGCAGTGCCCTGGAGCTTCTCAGAGAGAAGCAATCTAGAGCCCAAAGAGGAAGATCAAGGGTGAGGGAGCTACATCCTCAGGTGCTTGACAGAAGCATTCAGGAAGAGGAAGATATAAGGATGTCTGCCTCAGAATTCTTTAAAAGGGACAGACTCGTGTATAAAGAGAAGCTCAGCTTTACTGAATCAACACATGTTGAGTTTAAAATGTTCACCACCAAAAAGATTGTCCCTCGGATTAAAGAAACGCTGTCTCATTATGTTTCTGCATTTGCCAACACCCAGGGGGGATACTTAATTATTGGGGTGGATGATAACAGCAAAGAAGTATTTGGATGTACGAGAGAAAAAGTGAACCCTGACTTACTAAAAAAAGAAATAGAAAACTGCATAGAAAAATTGCCAACGTTCCATTTCTGCTGTGAGAAGCCAAAGGTGACTTTCACTACCAAAATCTTGGATGTATACCGAAAAGATGCCCTGTATGGCTATGTCTGTGTGGTTAAAGTGGAGCCCTTCTGCTGTGTAGTATTCACAGAGGCACCGGATTCCTGGATCATGAGGGACAATTCTGTGACGAGGCTGACAGCTGAGCACTGGGTGGCCATGATGCTGAATATTCAGCCAGGTAAAGCAGGGTAGAAGTCATTATCCAACAGCAAGGAACCCTCTTCTCTGCCTTCTGTGGGTATTTGGTCAGATAGTTAAGGAGTAAGAAGCTGTTTTGCTTACAACTATTCTCCCCACTACAGAATTCCTTTTTCTGATATTTTTATGAACTCAAAGAATATGAACTCTTTGAGGTCAAGAAACACTTGGCTTTTAGTCTACTTTGGGAAAGTTATATTATGCCATCAGCCATGAGTTAGTGACAGTTCCCTTTTATGCACTATAAAGGCCTGTTAAAATAGAATTTTGCAGGTTGATGTTCTTAGTCAAAAACGTTCATCAGTAGTCTCAATCTCAAGATGCTATTTCAGAGAAACATTGTTTAAGAATGACTCTCCACTAGTTCTTTGGAGGGAAAACTCATCGACAAATCTGAATTGTTTCAGTAGCAAGGAGCTAAAACCTTCAACCACTGGGCTTGGGGGACCACTGAGTGGGGAAAAACTGAAACAAAAGGAAATGCTGGGGCTGGGGCTGGGGCTGGTGGTGGGGAGGAGGGCTTCTAGTGTTTTCACTTCCTTTATAGTTTTGCTCAGAATCGGCCCTTGTGATTTCTATTTAATCCATAAAGGACTCATAGGCTGAACAAAGTTTATCAGTTTGCCTTCATGGTCAGTATGGTCCAAATTTGATAAAAGAAGCTTGGATCAAAACTTGAGTGATTTTATTGGATTATTCTTTCTCTTGTCCTAAATTTGTTTCAGTAGTGCTCACTTCGGCAGCACATATACTAAATTTGTTTGAGTTTACTTTACACAGACCCCTCCCCACCCAAACTAGAGACCCTGCCACTTTCTATTCCATCTAAACCTTGGATGGGGACTTCAACAGCTGTAACAATATAAAAAATATATACTGTGCTTAAGTTTTCCTGACCCTTCCCCGCCCCCCAATAGAAGACTTTTCCTCTTAGAGATGACCTGAAATCAGAATATCAGAGTTGGAAGGAACCTTAGGGATCACCTCACCCTGGCATTACAGAGAGGTGAAATGACTTGCCCAAGATGAGTCACACGGTGACTTAGAAGGTGGATGCTCTCCAGGAGTCCCCAGACTTCCTTTCCTAACATATGTGAACTGTTTGAGGCATAGAAAGTGTGACAGCAGCTCAGGTATATATGCTGCAAAGCACATGTCAGCAGTAGGAAGAACAACTAAAAAGTTATTTTTCTTTTTCATCTGAAACAACTCTCCATGTGTTTGTTTAACTCCTTCTGGTTTGGCCACAGACTACAGCAGTTCCCTGATCTCAACAGCTTCGTCTGTACCAAGATGCACGTCGTATCCCATAAAACTCCTGGAATTTAAAGGGGTTCTACAACAACGTTTGTTTCCAGGTATTTCCTTCTTGACTTCAGCTGAGGGGACTTTTTTTTTTCTCTAAAATTACTTTGGGAGGAATTGATAGCAACTAGCCCCAATTTTTTCTCCGTAGAGAGAAGGTCAAATGTAGGGCTTAGCAGAGGTAACAGTCCTGAAACTATACATATGGCTAACTCTTGTTTTGCAGTCACCAAATTCACATATTTCTGTGCACTTTTGGGCTTCAAGTCACCTATGGCTTTGGTTCCCCAAATTTGAGAGAATTTAGGAATTCTCCCGAATTGCTTAGGTCTGTACCACAAGAGAATTGCCCCCTGGCACTCCAGTGCAGACGGAGGACAGCCATGGGGTTCTAAAGCCGAGTTCCTCAACACTGGCATGATTGACATTTGGGTCAGGTAATTCTTTGTTGAGGGGGCTGCCCTGTGAATAGTAAGATGTATAGCAGCATTCCTGGCCTCTACCCTCCAGATTCCAGTAGCACCCCTCCAGCTGTGACAATCAAAAAATTTCCAGACATTACTAAACGTCCTGGGGTGGGGGGTGGGGGAGCAAATTGCCACATGTTAAGAATCACTGTTTTAAAGGAAAGTTCTTAGTTCCCCCAAAGCCTCAGGTACACACACACACACCTCCCTTAAACAGAAGGAATGACTTCCTAGCCATAGTAGACCATTTGGGGTTGAGGTGAGAGTGCTAGGAGGTTGTTCTGTGAAGACCCCTCCCTGATTGCCTTCCCCTATAAGAGAGCTGCCAACAATGGGAACTTCACAGCCCTGGCCTGTGAAGAGGAGGTGCTTTCTTTGTAGATAAGGAAACCTATAGTTTCACAGCTAGACTAATTTCTTCCTATGCAGGAATACTTACAATATGCTTTTGTACATTTTAGTAACTTCTATCCCTTGAATTTTCAGTGCCACAGGAAGAGATACAATTTAAACCAGAGTCCCTCTGTAAGAAGCTATTCTCAGATCATAAAGAACTGGAGAAATTAATGAAGATGCAGATACGTCCTTGTTCTCAAGGGATTGTGATATTTTCTAGAAGCTGGGCTGGTGATATTGGCTTACAGAGACAGCGGGATGTCCTGTGTGATGCTCTCCTAATAGCAGTGAACAGCCCCCTGGTACTCTATACAATCTTCATACACCCCAGTATGAGTGAAGGGCTTGAGTATGCCCGAAATACTGCTCATCAGTTAAAGCAGAAACTGGGAACTGTTGGTGGCTACACCGGGAAAGTGTGTGTCATTCCAAAGCTGATGCACCTGCCCGGCACACAGTGTGAACCCTGTGAAATCCCAATGTACTACCCCCAGTCCTACCAGCTTGCTAACAAGGAGGACATGGAAGACTTGTTGCAGGCCCTTATCGTGGTCTCGCTGTGCTCGAAATCCCTTCTGAGTGACCAGCTGGGCTGTGAATTTTTCAACTTGCTCATAGCAGAGCAGTGTGAGCAGCTTTCAAAGAACCTTCAGGAGACACGAGAATTGTTCATCCACTGCTTTCCAGGAACCAGGAAGACAGCCATAGCCATAAAGATCATGGAGAAAATTAAGGACTTTTTCCACTGCAATCCAAAAGAGATTCTCTATGTTTGTGAAAGTGACTCCTTAAAGGATTACGTGGCGTAAGTGTTTCACTAACTAAACACAATAAATGTATTGAGTCAGTCTTTCAACAGTATCACAAAAGTAATTTATGTTGTTAGTTTAATATTTTGCAATGCCTTAACTGGGTAAGTGCAAGAGCCCAAGCTATATGCACATTTCCAAGTGTTGACCAAGTGTAGTTGAGCTACAAATGAGAACTTCGCAGTTTTCAGGCTTAAACATCTCATTATAAATTAGCTAAGTATGCGTAACTTTAAATCTATATAACTAGACTCATTTTTCCACAATCGGTGGCCTCACATTTAAGAAAAATATAAAAACCTTTCTTTAAATAAACTTTTTTTCTTGATACTGAATACTTTTAAAGTCATAGGGTATTTCAGTTAATTAGACGTTATACATAACAGAAACTTGAATTTAAACACCATTTGATTTTGTTTATATTTTCATTTGTTTGAAATATTCTGATCAATAATTTTAGAAAACATGCAAATTTGCTTCTGATTTAAATCTTTTTTTTTTTAAAGATTTTTATTGGGGAATTGGGGGGATGGGAACAGTGCTGGGGAATTGGGGGAAGGGGAACAGACAAGTTGCTGTCG